AGACCTGGTTTAGATCCTGGTTTAGACCTGGTTTAGACCTGGACCTGGTTTAGATCTGGTTTAGATAGACCTGGTTTAGACCTGGTTTAGACCTGTTTAGTTTTAGTCCTGGTTTAGATCTGGTTTAGACCTGGTTTAGACCTGGTTTAGACCTGGTTTAGACCTGGTTTAGTCCTGGTTTAGATCTGGTTTAGACCTGGTTTAGACCTGGTTTAGACCTGGTTTAGACCTGGTTTAGACCTGGTTTAGACCTGGTTTAGACCTGGTTTAGACCTGGTTTAGATCTGGTTTAAGACCTGGTTTAGACCTGGTTTAGTGGTTTAGTCCTGGTTTAGACCTGGTTTAGACCTGGTTTAGACCTGGTTTAGATCTGGTTTAGACCTGGTTTAGACCTGGTTTAGACCTGGTTTAGACCTGGTTTAGATCTCACCACTTTGTACTGGAGTCGTTTTCGTTTGATGCAGAGTTCGTCCAAACTAATCTGACGTAGGAGCTCGAGTCTCGTCATTATTGGACCACGTCACTGTGACTCGCTCCTTCCTGATGCTCTGGGTTCGTGACATCATCATGTGACGATATTGCGGAAAACAGTTTAAACAAAAGGGAAACAAAGGGAAAACAGCGGAGCTCGAACTACTCAGTAACATCTGAGCCTCATTGTTGGTCCATGAAAAGACTTTTCACACTTTCCATCTTCCAGTCTGTTCCACTTCCTTGTTTTTACCGCACACATGACGTCGTGACGTCAGCTTAGTCATGTGACGAGCATTTCAGGCGGTTTCACGTTACTGTGTGAAGGGAACGGACACAGGAAAGACGTGTCTGGACACAAATCGTTTCTGATACGATGATTCTTTTACTTGTAAACGTGACCTAAAAGCCTGGGGTCAGTCCTGGACGACAGTGAGGCACAGATCTGAGCCAGAGAAAAGAAATGGTTTAATTGAAGAGTTAAAGAAGCTGTTTCTGTTAATAAGAAAGAGAATCATTTTGAATAGAAATGAGTCGTGTTTACAAGTCGATCCTCAAACCTGAACCGAAACAAAAAGAACATCAGAGACAGTCAGGTCCAGAGGTGTGGACAGTCAGGTCCAGAGGTGCGGACAGTCAGGTCCAGAGGTGCGGACAGTCAGGTCCAGAGGTGCGGACAGTCAGGTCCAGAGGTGCGGACAGTCAGGTCCAGAGGTGCGGACAGTCAGGTCCAGAGGTGCGGACAGTCAGGTCCAGAGGTGTGGATGCTCCACTAACACCTGAACCATTCTGCTGAAATGATCCACACTCAGGTTCAACAGAAAACAAACTGTAAACGAGTGTGTGTGTGTTAGTTCCAGAGGAGTTTCAGAGGAGTTATGTGGTGCCCCCTTCAGGCAGATGTAAGGACGTGTCCACCAGCGTCTGAACACAACTGAAGAAGAAGTTTGAGCTGAGAAACGTTTTTGACCAAATAAACTTTTGTCCAGGTGACAAACTGAATTTTTCCTTTTGCCTCAGATTCTAAATGAACGACTGAGGGATTTTACCCCACAAGTGTAACAGACCCTCTTTATTACCCCACAAGTGTAACAGACCCTCTTTATTACCCCACAAGTGTAACAGACCCTCTTTATTACCCCACAAGTGTAACAGACCCTCTTTATTACCCCACAAGTGTAACAGACCCTCTTTATTACCCCACAAGTGTAACAGACCCTCTTTATTACCCCACAAGTGTAACAGACCCTCTTTATTACCCCACAAGTGTAACAGACCCTCTTTATTGCCCCTCTGCAGTCGTGTGTGAGGTCGAGTCGTTCGTCTCGTCTTCCGGAGGACAGAGAGTGAGACGTGAGGCCGGCAGGGGCGGCAGGGGCGGCAGGGGCGGCAGCAGCGAGGAGGAGAACAGCAGCAACGAGAGCCGACAGGAGCAGAGCCGACAGGAGCAGAGCCGACAGGAGCAGAGCCGACAGGAGCAGAGCCGACAGGAGCAGAGCAGTGAGGAGACGGGAGGAGGAGCCAGCGTCACTCTGTCCAACTGTGTGGGTGAGAGACTGATTGACTTTTTTTAATGACCAGACCCGAGATTTCACTTTATTACGACAAAAATAAGAATCAACCCAAAGTCCATGTGTCCTGTTTCCATCTGAGTTCAACTCGACGCGTCTGAAACTCGCTCGATTGTGGTTTTGGCTTTAATAAAAACAACTGTTTTTCTCAGAATATGTCGCCGTTGGCAACGTAACAGTGGACGCAGACTGTATCAGTCTCATATTCACCAGGTAAGTGCTCCTGTCTGCTCCTGTCTGCTCCTGTCTGCTCCTGTCTGCTCCTGTCTGCTCCTGTCTGCTCCTGTCAGCTCCTGTCTGCTCCTGCTCCTGTCTGCTCCTGCTCTGCTCCTGCTCCTGCTCTGCTCCTGCTCCTGCTCTGCTCCTGTCCTGCTCCTCCTGTCTGTCTGCTCCTGTCAGCTCCTGTCTGCTCCTGGCTCTGCTCTGCTCCTGTCTGCTCCTGTCTGCTCTGCTCCTGTCTGCTCCTGTCGGCTCCTGTCGGCTCCTGTCTGCTCTGTCGGCTCCTGTCGGCTCCTGTCTGCTCCTGTCTGTCGGCTCCTGTCTGCTCCTGTCTGCTCCTGTCGGCTCCTGTCGGCTCCTGTCTGCTCCTGTCGGCTCCTGTCGGCTCCTGCTCTGCTCCTGTCTCGGCTCCTGTCGGCTCGGCTCCTGTCGGCTCCTCTCTGCTCCTGTCGGCTCCTGTCGGCTCCTGTCTCATGGTTCTTTTCTCTCCTCAGTGTTTGGAGAAATGCTTCTCCAGGATGTCAGACGGTGGATCATGTGACCTTCTTCCAGGACTGTCCCAAACCCACAAACAAAGCCCCAGTCCTGGTCTAGGCCCTAGTCCTGGTCTGGATCCTGGTCCTGGTCTGGATCCTGGTCCTGGTCTGGATCCTGGTCCTGGTCTGGATCCTGGTTCTAGTCCCTAATCACCTGCTCACTGCATTAATACATGAATAAAAACGTCTAGAACCATTTTGTCTTTTTGTCTCATTTAAAGTTTAGTCCTAGTTTAGTCCTGGTAGTCCTAGTTTAGTCCTAGTTTAGTCCTAGTTTAGTCCTGGTTTAGTCCTGGTTTAGTCCTGGTTCCTCCGGAGGAGCTGGAGGAAGTGTCTGGTGTGAAGGAAGTCTGGGAGTCCCTGCTTAAAGGTTCGTTCACACCAAAGAGTCAGAGCCTCCAGTTTCTATATAAAGTTGATGTGGACTATGTGTGACTAGAGCGTCCTGTGTTTTGGCGTCGACGCTCTAGACGCGCGTCTGAGGCGTCGGCGTCAGAAGTTGAAAATGCTGAACTTTTCACGTCAGACGAGCCGCGTCGACCAATCAGAGACGAGTATCCAGAGACACAGCGACAGGTTATTACTCAGGAAGAAAAACCCCAGAACCAGAACCACAAACATGAACAGAGAATAAATATATAGGACACCACCAGGACACCAGGACACCAGGACTAAACCAGGACTAAACCAGGACTAAACCAGGACTAAACCAAGACCGGACCAGGACTAAACAAGGGCTAGACTGAGACTAGACCAGGACTGATCCAGTGTCATTAGTGGAGTATAAATATAAACTCGCTCCAGTCGTGGAGTCGATTTCCTCCGCTGAGGTTTTACGTTATAAAAACTCTAAAGTCTCAGTCTGGTCTGACATTGTTTCAGGAAAAGATCTGGACCGGGCTCTTGTTTCCAGGGCAACGGACGCACGTCAAGTATTTTTCTCCCGTTCGTCCGCGGCGTCAAAGACACGAGCGTCGGGGTCTGAACTCAGATGCAAAGGCTCCAAATAGAAACGTCAAGGAGTTTTTTGACGCTTTGGTGCGAACGAACCTTTAGGCTGATGCCCCCATGACCCGACCCTGGACAAGAGGAAGAAAATGGATGGATGTTTCATACATGGTCAACAGTTTGATAAACTAGAGACATATGTATCTGTTCAATACACTTTTATATCAGATGCATTAACTTGAGTTTTTGGCCTTGTTGTTTACTTCTGCTGGACTGGGCCCAGGTGTCACATTTCACCCGTTCAACCTGTAACAAATAAATGTCAGAACAGTCAGGGAGGAAACAACATCCTAAAATGATCAGATGACAGGATAATCATGAGTCTTCCTCACAATGGTGACTGTATCTCCACCATCAAGAGTTCACATCTTTTCTCTGTCGGTGCAAAGAGTCTTATGTAACTCTTAAACAAAACTAAGGAGTCGGTGTTTGATCCTCGTGCTCCACAAACCCAGGATCCTGTTTTCACTCAGGCTAAACAAACAGAGCAGGTTACATCTTTGAAATATTTCACTGTCTACATTGACAGTTTCTTTAAAGGTTGTATGGAGGATTTTTTTTTTTGTTTCAAATTGTCAGTGATAGATTATAGATGCAGTCGCCTTGTAATTATGATGACCAAAAAAAAGAGAATAAAAATTCATCAACTCTGGACGTGGTGGGGCTAAACATTTGCCAATAGATAACGACACTGCCTCGTTATCTGTGAGCTGACAGGCTGTCAATCAAACTCCCTACGTTTCTAGTGTAACTGACTTGCCTGCGCCGCCGGTACGTGGTTTACGTACGACTGTCACGCAGTCCACAGACGCAAGACGCACAGACGCTGTTTACTCCACCAACGCAACAGTTCTTAGCGGCTTTTTTGACCTATATCTTCCTCGCAGTTCACACAAAGTTTGTTGCGATGGCGACAAGAATCCAGGAGCAGTTCGCCGCAAAAGAAAGTCCGTTTTTGAGGTGAAAGAAGAAGACAAGGGGAAAAGCAGCGAAGCCAAACTAAGGTGATTCTTGAAGATTCATTCCAGCGATGGCGCGACTGAAGCAGACGAAGGGTCTAAAGACTGAAGCACTGGTCCACAAATTACTCCTGGACAGGAAACTTCTGCTTATTATGAAAACGTACTTTATTTCCAAGAGCGACACAAACGTTTTTCAGGACACGAAAGCGATATCCTATGTCTGAAAACGTCATTTTCAAGGCAAAGAAAGAGTCACTTGCTGCTGCGTGTTGTAGCTAGTTCATTCGCACGGAATCTCCGCGCAACCTTCTCTGCTCCCCTTTCCTGCTCCTGTCCCTGCTCCCCGCTCCTCACTTCTCCGTCTTGTCTAACCAACACTGTAGTTAGTTGTTTACAAGTCATGTGCAGCGGCTGTAAACAAACCTGTTTGTGGCGTAAGGAGGAGGAGGGAGGAGGTGTTTCTACGTAGGAGCTGTGGGGGAGGGGGGTGGTTTCACACATGCGCAACATTTGAAAAAGGACAAACAGTCGCTGGATTTCTCCTTCCTTGGAAAATCCTCTATACAACCTTTAAGTGGAATGTACATATTGATTTTTTTCTTTGTTCCAAGTTTTCCCAGTTGGGTGTGAGCACTGCTGCTGTTTTGGAGACTCGTGAAGCTCAGTGACGATAAAGAGACTAAACTGCAAGAAATTCATGGAGGGAGATCGACGACATTTTAGGCTCGGACGAAAATAAAAGTAAATAAAAGAGTCTGGCGAGAGCGAGGGGGCGGGGCAGAGCGAGGAGGCGGGACAGAGCGAGGGGGCGGGACAGAGAGAGGAGGCGGGGCAGAGCGAGGGGGCGGGGCATACAAGGACCTTGCTTTAATTCACCTCAGATTTGGTTTTAAACGCTGTATCCGTGTTTCTTTTGAGCGCGTATGATTTAATTAAACTGAAATGAACCTTTTGTACATTTCCTGCTAAAATAAAACATAATCATGAGGAAAAAACATGTTGGTGATTTTCAGATTCAGAAACAGTTTTGCACGTTGTTCTTTTGCGTGAAATCTCCAAAAGGTAAACTCACAAATGTTTTTTTCTGGTGACCCGAGTGACTAGACTTGAAAAACCAAAGTCCACGTCTCCTGCCTCCATCTGCGATAAACACGACTCGTCTGAAACTCGCACGTTTGTCTCTTTGGCGTCAATAAAACAACTGTTTTTCTCAGAATATGTCGCCGTTGGCAACGTAACAGTGGACGCAGACTGTATCAGTCTCATATTCACCAGGTAAGTGCTCCTGTCGGCTCCTGTCGGCTCCTGTCGGCTCCTGTCGGCCTGTCTGCTCCTGTGCTCCTGTCGGTCTGTCTGCTCCTGTCGGCTCCTGTCGGCTCCTGTCGGCTCCTGTCGGCTCCTGTCGGCTCCTGGCTGATGGTTCTTTTCTCTCCTCAGTGTTGTTTTAAACGCCTCTTCAGGATGTGAGATGGTGGATTCTGTGACCTTCTTCCAGGACTGTCCCAAACCTTAATACCTGGTCTGGATCCTGGTTCTAGTCCCGGTCACCTGCTCACTGTGTTGATACATGAATAAAAAAGTCTAGAACCTTTTTGTGTTTTTGCCTCGTTTAAAGGCCCATATCACCGTTTCCTCGTCACAAACACCTGGAGTTGTGTTTTGTTTCTTTCACAAACCTGCAGATTTAGGCTGAGTTCTTCTCTGAAACTGCAAACACAGGTTACAGGAAATGTGCGGGAGGGTGCGGGGGCGCGGGGGAGGGTGCAGGGGAGGGTGCGGGGGCGTGCGGGAGGGCGCGGGGGCGCGGGGGAGGGTGCGGGGGCGCGGGGAAGGGTGCAGGAGGGAGCAGGAACTTTAAGGTAATTTAGCGGATTTTAGATATATTCCAGAAATATTGCCGTTTTGTTTTGCAAAAGTGAACCCTTGTATTACGTTGATAAAAAATTACATTGATTATGTTGCGGGTCGTTTTGATCCGTACATTGTAAATCCATGCAAAACAGTAAAAAAAAAAAACAGGTTAAACCAATAACATCTTTATTTTAGATGATATGAACATTTAGACAAGAGACAAACAATAACTTTTTATTTTCAACAGAACTATTTAAGAACAATTTAAAGTGTTTCCTCTTCACCCTTTTTTTTGTCATTTGACTTGCTCCATTTTCAATGTTCAACAATGTTCAACAATGTTCAACACTGTTCACCCGTTTATCCCACACGTCTCTGATCGCAGCTCATTTGTCTCTTTCACGTCGACACATCAGCTCTGGTGTCACGATTGTCAAATCGGATCAGACGAGACGTCGTGTGGAATGTCTCCAGAGACTCTGCAGCTCGATAGATTGTCCTTCCATTTTCTTCATTCCACAGACTTGTTGTAGTTGCTTCTCCTTTTGACCTGTTCACTCCAAAATGACCCACATCATCTTTGTATAAAACTCTGCACACACATTGTGCTGCACATCAAAGAGTCCAGATTTCACACACGAGTTCATGACCCAAGACGAGAAAAAGTCACAAAATTGTAGGAAGAAAAAAAATGGATAAACAGTACTTTGATCAAAACAAAAACTGAAATGGGTCAAATTGACCCGTAACATAATACAAGGGTTAAACATAAGTTTTCGTTTTTAGCCATAAGATTTGGATGAGAATTATTAGAATAACTTGGTCTCAAAATCCAACAGTTCAATGGCCCTTCTGTAATCTCAGTCACTGATCCGTGTGTGTATCTACACGGTGACGTAGACTGCACCTGTCACATTTTGACATCGGTCTTTGGCCCCTGGAGGTCAGTTCGAGGGCTGCAGACTTTGCTGCGTCAGGACCCTGGTGATGACGCGGTCGTGACGTCATCGTTTTCCAAAAGCTGCGGTTTGTTTGTCCACACGACAACACGAGTTCTCAGATTTCTCCACTCTGGAACCTGTTCTCAAAAAACACTTTTTGCCTGAAATGCCGAGTCCGAAAGGACAAAACAAATACAAACTTCACCCTTTCGGCCAAAAAAACGTTGTCGTGTGGACAGGACCTGAGTTTCTCTTTTACTTTGCTCAAATATGTTTTCCTGTGACTTTTGTATTTTCTTGAACTTCTACTTTGTACTTCTACTTGAGTAATATTATTTTGCAGTAGCGTTACTTTTACTCGAGTACATTCCCTGGCT